TATATATATATGTATATATGTATATGTATATATATATATATATATATGTATATATATGTATATGTATATATGTATATATATGTATATGTATATATGTATATGTATGTATATGTATATATGTATATATATATATGTATATATGTATATATATATATATATATTAAAAAATCATTAATACTGTTTCACAGTTGATTTAAAATGAGTAGTTCACTTCAACATTTAAAATGGTTTGAACTAAACACACTTTGATTATCAAGATATTGTAAAATAGTAATGATAATATAAAAAGAGAGTGTTCTTTCAATTGATTAGTGCAGGACACACTTAGAAAGTCTCTGAGCTTAATTTGTATTTCTGGACTCAAATCAATGAAATAACAGTTCCTGTCCCATGAAGGTCCTCAGGGTCAGGTTTTGACCTGAGGCTTAGTTCACTACATTTATGTATCTTTCAAACTCACTTGACAGCTTACGTTTTCTATTTGTGTGTCTGTTTGCTCTTGGCTGATAATTTAGTGTTACCTCTGTACAAGACTACACATGTGTTTAATATTAAAATAGACCAACTAACAATATAAAGTACAAATTGTTTTTGGTTGTTTCTTTTTATATATTTATTTATTTATACCTGTGTTCATTTGAGCGCTTGCTCCTGTAACAGTTCTTTTAGACAAACACTGAATTAATGGAGGGGTGAGTTACAGTGAAAAGTATGAATTTGTTGTGTTGTTCAAGACATGTCCAACTACACACTGATTGTAATAGTTATAAAATTCTAACACACAAAACAATAAAAATGACCGGAGCGAAGTGTTACAACCCTTGAACTGAGTCTAGGAGGCACAGGGTGTAACACAAATTGTAAACTAAACGCAGAGCCAATGACTCAAAAACAGCTCAGTTTGGCATTACAATGATTTATTTGTATATTAGTTCTGGTCGTTACAGACAGAAGGGAAGCCATGAACTTCAGGGTCTCCAAGGCCAAACAACAAACAAAAGAATGCCCCTTCTGGCTAGAAAACAAAATAATTTATCTAACAAAAGGAAAAACTCCAATCCCTAAGCTCCCTGGCTGGCCACAAAACAGGAGAAGTAGTTAAAATTAAATGGTGGAGAACCCCTACCAAACTTCCCATCTAAGCAAAAGATCTTACATATTAAAGTTCACAGAAAATATATTCTCAGAGTAGTTTAAATACTTTGTACACAGAGTTAAACTCAGAGTCAACCACACCACAACATGCCCAGGGGAAAGAGGAAATGCCCAAGGATTAAGGGGTGTGGCAGAGGATCTCTGAAGCTTTTATGCAGTCCATTGATGAAGAAGTGATTCCAGGTGTGCAGCATGGTGTGACAGCAAGCCTGTTAACAATTAAAGGAGGAGAAAGGTTGTCGTCTAGTAAAAGAACCCCTGGAATGGGGTCCCTTGGAGAGGACGTTACAAGATGACAAAGAAAAAAGTGACTGCAGCCAAGGCCAAACATACAAAAACAACAATGCTGCTCACAGATGCCCCCTCAGGTCTGAACAAATAAAATTACATTACAAAGCTGCATTTTTTGTAAATAAAACACAAAAAGGTGGCTCAGTTGGTAGAGCTGTTGCCTCTCAGTGTGAAGGTTGCTGGGTTGAATCCCAGCCGGGGGCCATTCTGGGCCAAGTTTCCGAGTCCTCTCCGTGCATGTGTGGGTTTTCTCCAGGTACTCCAGTTTCCTCCCGATTGGTGACTCTAAATTGTCCCTAAGTATGAGTGAGAGTGAACGTTGTTTGACTCATTTGTCTCTGTGTCCCTGCAATGGACTGGAGACCTGTCCAGGGTGTCCCCCGCCTCTCTCACAGTGACTGCTGGATATGAGCACCAGTGACCCCTGTAACCCAAAATGGAATAAACGGGTAAAGATAATGGATGGATGGATGGATGGATGGATGGATGGATGGATGGATGGATGGATGGATGGATGGATGGATGGATGGATGGATGGATGGATGGATGGATGGATGGATGGATGGATGGAACAAAGATATAAAATGTAATAAAAACAACATTTAATATCCAGCTTTATTATGTTATGTATGTGGAAAGACAACTGAACAGGTCACAGGTTCAACTCCTGGCTGAGGCGTTTCAGTGTACAGCTCTTATGTTCTTCTTGTGCATTCAGGTCATCCTGTTTCCTCTTAGAACCCAAAAACATGCACGTTAGATTAATTTGTTATTCTGAATGTGTCTTGGGTATAAATATGACATAAATGGTTGTTTGTGTTTATGTGGCCCTGTGATGGATCTATGGGGGTGTGCTACCTCTTGCCCAATGAAAAGAGACCAACGCTGGCTTTCCATGACCCTAAAAGAAAAAGCATGCAAGAAAATGGAGGATGAATTAATGGAAGCATGCATGGATTTTACTGGACCATTCAGGCTGACACCAAACAACTTACTTAGTTCAATCCAAAAGTTTGACCGCAGCGTAGATCTTCTGTTTCTTTGCTGCAGCTTTCATTGCTCTGCTGTCGGCTTTCACCGGAGTGAAGATGGCAGCAGAGTAAATCCATTCATGCTCACCTGTCTTGATGTTAAAGAAAGTAATTTATCAAACAATAAACTCATTTTAATTATTAAATCAAGTTAGCTTTAGCTGAATTGCAACTTACCTGTTGAATCTTCAGACCACTATTATGTAGCTGTGGCTTATTAACAGCTGAAATTTGAATAATAAAAATTTGTCAAGTTTCAGAACACAGAAAAAATATATAAGTAAAATTAATACCTTTGCAGTGAAGACAATTGTTGTTGGACCTTATGAGGACTGCTATAATAATCAGACTTATTGCCAAAACAGCACTCAGAAGAAAATAACAAGTCCTCTGATCGGACCAGGAGCTGGATCCTAAACAGTGTTAAACAGAACAACAGATTAACCACGTAAAATTAGCTATAACAATACACCACATGGTTGTACGTGCAAAAAAAATTAAAATAAAGAAATATCTCCTTCTGATATTTTTAATAAACAAATTAATTGAACTTCAATTCCTTAATTAATGTTTTTATTCCCATCCGTGAAACTTGATCTTGAGTTATATGTATTATTCTGATGACTGTTTTAAAAAGTTCACAATCAGATTACCTTGAACTTTCGGTTCATTTCCAAATAATATCTGTCCACATGTGGCCACAGCACAGTAGAAAGTCCCAGCATCAGTGGAGCTGATGTTCCTAAAGAACACACATCTGTTCTGGGAGTCAGGTTTCTTCTCACATTCATCGTGTCGTTTTCCTTGAGTATAGATCATGTCTGGATAAGACTTCTCTGATCTGACTCTGAACCAGAACACTCTGAGACCTCCTGAGCACGTCTTTATGTCAGAACCAGATAGAAGTGAACACTGTAGAGTGACTGAGCCTCTTGAACCGTCTGGATCTGATGCTGCTGTCTGTTGGACAACAGTGTAGTCTGATGTCCTCTCAGTGGGTCCTACAACAAAACGTACATAAACGTGTTGCACAAGATTTAATTAAAATTATAATGTAAACAAAGAGGCATTTTTCTTCATAATGGTTCAATATTTAACTCCAGTAATTTTTTAACCTGAAAGTTATATTGTCTATTTAAAAAATATATATACACATTTTAACTGGCATGTTAATAATAAAAAATATGTTACAGTTGTAAGGAATTATTCTTTTCACATTATCTCAAGTACACAATTTCCTGATGCATGCTCAATAATCCAGGTAAAAAAAAACTAACAAAGTTAGAGGATCTGACTTAACTTTGTTAGACTTAAATAATTTCTTTACCTTTTAATGACAAGTACATGCTATGCCAGATATTCTTGCTCCAGTCATTGAAAGCACAGTGATACATCCCTTCATCTTCTTTAACAGTTCTTACAATTGTCAGATTGCTGAATTTTTCCTCAAGCGTCACTTTCAGTCTTGATGCAGAATATTCTGGTCCATATTCAGGTTTTGCCAGTTTCCACAGTGACACAATTATCTTCAAAGTATCCCCAGCATTTTGCTTGTACCAGTGAATTTTAACTCTGCTGTCTTGATCTTCAGGCAGACGACATGTGAAAGTTGCAGGTTCACCAAGTTGAACTGTGAACAGTGGAACCAGCGTATCTGTACAAGGGAGATAAAGTATAACCAGCTGTTTATTCAATAGACCTAAGTAGGTAATTAAGAATAAATGAACATCAACAATCACAAATCTAAAATGTATGTAAATAATTAAACTTTACTATAATATTTATAGATTTTACTTACATCCATGATGAAAAAAGAGCAAAGTCACCCAGAAGAGAATCATCTTTATACTGTCTACACCTTCTACATTGTAACACTTACTTATATTTCAGTGACACAAGGAGGAGCGTTGATTCAGAGGGCCTGATTGGTTATTTCAAAATATATAATCAAAGTTCATTTCCTGTCACGGTAGTCTTTCCCCTCTAAGCAACTATTGACCAAGACTTGCCGTTAAACATCAGGATCATTATGTGGATTATTATTATTATTATTATTATATATAAAATGTAAAAAAGTTAAATCTGGTCCTCTGGACATTCAAAAAAAACAAAACAAAGCAAATCAACAAAAAATGTAGAAACGTTTCGTCTCTCATCCGAGAGACTTCTTCAGTCTGAGGTGCTGTTTTCAGTTCAGTCTCTTAAATAGCACCTTCTCAGAGTGGATCAACCAGTTTTGCTGCTGACAACCAAAACCAGCTGATCACATGCTCAAGAAGGACCATCAGCCTAACAATGGGTCATTAGCACACTGATGGCTGTTTACTGTTCACAGAGGGCTGAGTGATACTAGCAATCACAGCATTGTAAGAGGGGGACAGTTGAACCCGGAGGCCTCCACCCCTGTTTAATGATGGACGATTTCTTTTCACAAAGATGGCCTCCTTTACTCCTCTCTCAAACCATCGTTCCTCTCTGTCCAGGATGTGAACATCTTCATCCCTGAAAGAGTGACCGCTGGCCTGGAGATGAGTGTAGACCGCAGAGTCCTGGCCTGATGATGTTGATCTTCTGTGCTGGGCCATCCTTTTGGCCAGTGGCTGTTTTGTTTCCCCGATGTAAGACTGATCACAGCCCTCCTGACACTGAACAGCATACACAACATTGCTCTGTTTGTGCCGGGGGACTGGATCTTTGGGATAAACCAGTCTTTGCCGTAATGTATTTTGGGGTTTAAAAGCCACTGGGACGTTATGTTTAGAAAATAAACGTCTCAGTTTCTCTGATACTCCCTCAACATATGGAATGACCACTGGTCTGGGTCTGGGTTCCTCCTTTTCACCTGTTAGCTGACTGGAGTCCTGTTTGGGTTTCTTCTCTGCTTTCAGGAAGGCCCAGTTAGGATATCCACATTGCTCTAGAGCCTGTTTTGTGTAGGATTTCTCCTTCTGCCTGGCTCCTGAGCTAGTGGGGACGCTGTCTGCTCTGTGATACAGAGTCCTGATGACTCCTAATTTGTGCTCCAAAGGGTGATGGGAGTCAAACTGCAAATACTGGTCTGTGTGGGTGGGTTTGCGGTACACCTCAGTTTGCAAATGTCCTCTATCAGAGACTGAGACCTCACAGTCCAAGAAAGCCAACCTGCCATTTTTTACATCTTCTCGTGTGAACTTGATGTATTTATCCACAGAAATCGTCCATCATTAAACAGGGGTGGAGGCCTCCGGGTTCAACTGTCCCCCTCTTACAATGCTGTGATTGCTAGTATCACTCAGCCCTCTGTGAGTAGTAAACAGCCATCAGTGTGCTAATGATCCATTGTTAGGCTGATGGTCCTTCTTGAGCATGTGATCAGCTGGTTTTGGTTGTCAGCAGCAAAACTGGTTGATCCACTCTGAGAAGGTGCTATTTAAGAGACTGAGCTGAAAACAGCTCCTCAGACTGAGGAAGTCTCTCGGATGAGAGACGAAACGTTTCTACATTTTTTGTTGATTTGCTTTGTTTTGTTTTGTTTTGAATGTCCAGAGGACCAGATTTAACTTTTTTAGATTTTTCTACCTGGATTATTGAGCATGCATCAGGATATATATAAAATGCATACTGTTTATTTTCTTTATATATTTTAGAGAACGCCTATGACAGGATGCAGAGGGAGGAGGTGTGGTATTGCACAAGGAAATCTGGAGTGGCAGAGAAGTTCGTTAGACTGGTACAGGACATGTATGAGGACAGCAGGACAGTGTTGAGATGTGCTGTAGGAGTGACATATAGCTTCAAGGTGGAGGTGGGAGTGCATCAAGGATCGACTCTGAGCCCATTCGTGTTTTCTCTGGTGTAGAAAGAAAAGCTGCAGAGAGTGGTGAAGGCTGCACAGACCGTTGGAGTCACCCTCCCCACCATCAGACATCTACACCTATAGATACAGGAACAGGGCCACCTGCATCATGAATGACCCCACTCACCCAGTACGCTCACTTTTTGCACCACTCCCCTCAGGCAGGAAGTTAAAGAGCATTAAGTGTAGAACCATTAGACTGAGGAACAGCTTCTACCCTGAAACTGTTAGCCTCATGAATCTCTAATCATAATAATCACTGTAATGCCACTTGATTGTTGATATGTGCTGCTGACTATCCATGTTTCTGATCTTATGCTGCTGATTTATTTCACACAACTGTGTTCATTCATACTGATCTGCTTGCACAGACTCATCTTCGTACTGTTGTTGTTTGGCGTATTGTTTTTGTACTACTAGTGCTTAGTGTATTCTTGCTTTAGCGTATTTCTTAGTTTATGTCTTAGATCTTATTACTGCTTATCTTGACAATTTATACTGTTGTTGGATGTAACTGGGACCCTGTGTGCACAATTTCGTTCCACCAAATGTACCACATGTGGTACGAATGACAAATTAAAAAAAACTTTCATTTTTGAGTTTAACAAATTCCCCAGAACGGGCTTGTCTTGTGCAAATGTATAGTTATTATGCCAATCTAGATGCTATGCTTTGGGTTTCATTCATTCATTCAACCTTTATTTATACACATTAGTTACATTGAGTCGTGAGGACTCATTTACACTTTCAGCTTTGTAACAGATGCAAGGAGTTTCTAAACAAATGTTTAAAAACAAAGACTAGAGTAAAAAATCTAATGTGATGAAACAAAATCATCTTCTTTTGGCTTTTCCCTCTTTAGGGGTCGCCACAGCGAGTCATCCTCCTCCATCCTCCTCCTCCACACTTTTTGCCCCACTCCCCTCAGGAAGGAGGTTAAGGAGCATTAAGTGTAGAACCACTAGACTGAGGAACAGCTTCTACCCTGAGGCTGTTAGACTCATGAATCTCTAACTAGAATAATCACTGTGAAAAACCATATCATGTTGCTGCTGATCTGTTTCATGTTGCTGCTGATCTGTTTCAATGTTGATGTGTTCATGCGTGCACATCCGCTCACAGACTCTTGTTCATGTTTGTGCTGATGTTCAATGTTTTATGAGTGCTTAGTGTATATTTAGTTGATGTTTTTCTTAGTTCATATCTTAGATGTTATTACTGTTTTTCTTATACATTTTATTGTTGGATGTAACTGGGACCCCGTGTACATAATTTCGCTCCACCACATGTACCACATGAGGTGCGAATGACAATAAAGAAACTCTGACTCTGACTCTGACTCTGACTCCATTTCACTCTGTCCTCTGCATCCTTTGTCCTCACTCCAACTACCTTCATGTCCTCTCTAACTGCATCCATATATCTCCTCTTTGGCCTTCCTCTGTCTTTTTCCTAGCAGCTGCATTTCTAACATCCTTCTACCAATATACCCACTGTCCCTCCTCTTGACATGTCCAAACCATCTCAGTCTGGCCTCTCTAACTTTATCTCCCAGTTGTTCAACCTGTGTTGTACCTCTGATTATCTCATTCCTAATCTTATCCATCCTTGTCACTCCTAAGGAGAGCCTTAGCATCTTCATTTCTGCCACTTCCAGTTCTTTCTCCTGTCTTTTTGTCACTGTCTCTGAATCCAGACCATACAATATAGCTGGTCTCACCACTGTCTTGTAAACTTTTCCTTTGACCTTTGCTGACACCCTTTTGTCACAAATCACTCCTGAAACTTTTCTCCATCCACTCCATCCTGCCTGGACTCTCTTTTTCACTTCTTTACCACATTCTGCATTTTCCTGGACAGTGGACCCCAAGTACTTGAAGTTCCGCACCTTTGTGACCTCTGCTCCTTGTAGCCTCACTGTTCCACCAGCCTCCCTCTCATTTATGCACATGTTCTCTGTCTTACTATGGCTGACTTTCATTCCTCTTCTCTCAAGTGCGTACCTCCACGTCTCCAAGTTCTCGTCCACCTGTTCCCTGTTCTCACCACAGGTCACAATGTCATCTGCAAACATCATTGTCCATGGGGATTCTTGCCTGACCTCATCTGTTAGTCGGTCCATCACCAGAGCAAACAAGAAGGGGCTCAGAGCCGATCCTTGATGCATTCCTATCTCCACCTTGAAGCTGTCTGTCACTCCTACAGCACATCTCACCTCTGTCCTGTTGTCCTCATACATGTCCTGTACCAGTCTAACATACTTTTCTGCCACTCCAGATTTCCTCATGCAATACCACACCTCCTCCCTCGGCACTCTGTGGATTCAGAAAAAGCATATGACAAAGACACAATGGAGTTCTTTCTGACCCTCTCTGTACTTCATTAGCATTTTCAAAGCAAATATGGCATCTGTGGTGCTCTTTCTTGGCATGAAACCATACTGCTGCTCACAGATAGTCACCTCTCGTCTAAGTCTTGCTTCCACAACTCTCTCCCAGATCTTCATTGTGTGGCTCATCAACTTAAATCCCCTGTAGTTGCTACAACTCTGTACATCACCCTTGTTCTTAAAAATGGGCACCAGCACACTTCTCTGAATCTGATTGGCTGCCACTTGCTGCTGCTGTCAAGTCAGATCTGTTTTGATTAATCAGTTTCAGTAATTGTTCAAAGCGATGAGAAAAATATAACAGCTCTTCTCCTTGGGGCTGCAGCATGCAGCACTTCCAGTTCTTGTGATAGGCGATGATAACAAAAGGACAGAGGGTTTGATTTACTTGTTTATATTTATGAATAATGTTACTAAGATTATTGTTTCACAAACAATGTGGCTTTTTGCCTAAAGCTGCAACAGACACAGAACCTTAGATAAATCAAAACCACAGAACGTCTCTTCTGCTTTTTGCACTTTTTACTCCAATTCTCCAAATAAAGCAGTCAGATACAGTAATGTCATTTTCTCATCACGATGTCTGACTTGAAGCAGCTGGGGTAACAAATATTTCA